TGCAATCTGGGGAGTGGTTTTCTTTTTGTGGTGTGTGCTTCTTTCCTGAGGAGTTGTTAGGTTGCGTGTGGTTCTTCTACTCCCTACTGTCTGTTTTCTAATTTGTCGTATTCGTTGGGACACTGTGTTGCTAGGACTGACTGGCATCTTGGGTGAACTTCTCCGCTCCCCTCTGGCTCTTCCAGGAGCCATCTCTGTCTTCTGGGGGAGCTTTCTGCTGGTTTTAGGCAGTTTTTACTGAAGAAATGTCCCTGTTCTCAAATGGCGAAGCGGGATGCAGTCACTTGCGCCTCCGGTTTCAGGCACACTCTTCTGCGCCCCCGGTCTGCCCCGGACGTGGGGTGCCTGCTCCCTCTGTGGGCTCAGACTGCTGGTCGGAAGGGCCTGCGTGGAATAACTTCCCGGCTGGCCACTGCAGAAGCCTTCTGCCCTTTTCAAGCAGTCTTAAGAAATTTCCTGCTCTATGGGGTGTTAGTGACTTTTTTTTCCTGGTCGCTAGGTGGCGCCAGAGATCTCTCCTATTGTCCTTGGGGGGCTGTTTTTCGCCTCCCCCCACCCCGTGGGACAGGGAACAGAGCGGGAATGGTAGGGTACACCTCAACAGCTTTGGGGTGCTGTGTCTGCCTTGTGCCCCACCGTCGTGGGGAACCCACGCCCCGAATTTTCGTGCCCCGGGTCTCAGTTCAAAGCCCTCAGTTCCAGGACGCGGGCTGTAGCCCAGTTCAGTGGCGCGGGAATGGCGCCTTTTGCACCGCTCCCGTGCCCGGGTGCCTGGTTCCTGCTTACTCAGGGAGGGACCTTCACCTCAGTGAGGACCTCCGCGCGTCTCCCCGCAAGCCTAGGTCGTCTCCCCGCAAGCCTAGGTCGCAGGCGCGGGGACCTGGGCAGCGGTGATCCCGGTCCGCGTTTTGTTTTCAAGCGCGCCGAGCGCGCCGCTTTCCCGCGCCAGCTTACTGGCAGCCCGGGCTGTGTGCGCGTCTCCCGGGGTCTTTGTTCTTCTCTAATGGCGCCAGGAGCCGTTTGCTGTTTGCTCACCACCGCGGTGAATCCTGCAGGGTTCGCCTCAGCTCCCGTTCACGGGGTGTGGTGGCTGCAATAGTTCCTTTCCACTCCCAGTCCCGCTTGCTGCGTAGTTTGTTCTTGTGGGTCGTTTTAGTTTGTTGTTTCCTCCTCTCTGCCGGTCGGAGAGTGCCGCCTCTGTGGGCGGGGGAGGGGAGCAGGGTTCTGTGCTTCCCTCCCTTCTAGTCCTCTTTTATGGCCACTTTCTTCTTCGGGTAGTTTGCTGGAGTCACCCGTTTATCTTCCGTGTCCCAGTTCTCACTGGGACCTGCCGCTTTTCCTCCCTATTAACTTTTTTTAATGGGAGATCTTACTCGCAGCGTCTCCTCGCCGCCATGTTGCTCCGCCCCCCTTCCAGTAATACTTTAAAAAAAAATTCAATCATTTAATTTAATATTTAAATGATTCTAATAATTTACAAAACGGGTATTATTTTGTTTTAAGAAGGGATCATGCTCAGCAAAATAAGTCAGAAAGAAAAAGAAAAATATCTGATGGTCTCTCTCACAGCAGGAATTTAGAAAACTTAAATAAGAGACCAGGAAAAAGACTAATCAATAGAAAGTAAAAATCAAAATCAACAAGCAACTATAAACCAGAGACACACTATGGGGGCCGGGGCTGGAAGGAGGGGGAGAGGAAGGACTAGAGTCAAAATAAGGGGGGGGGGTGCAATTGTATGGGGAATATAACCATCATGAAAATGCATACATTGTGCAAAGATAAAAAATGATGTAAGAATTATATAAAACAAAATGTTAAAAAATTTTAAAAAAGTAAAAAAAATAAAATATTAAATGTCATAAATAATTTCATATACTATCTCTTAACCTGTGGCTATTTATAACCTTTTTAAATATTCAAGATTGAGAATAAATGAAAAGCATATTGTGGATCCAAGACACTGTCCATTGAGTCTACATACACACACATACACACATATATATGTATATATATATGCACCAACTTACTGCTTATGAGAAAAAATCAAGGCACAAATTTCTGCTATGGAAAATAAACTAAGCAAGGTCATTGTTCAGATATTTAAATAATAAAGAAGGGCCTCCCTGGTGGCACAGGCTGTTGAGCGCAGCACTGTGAAGCTGTACGCAGCCTCGCCAGTGCCAGTTTCATTCCCACTGGCCTCCGAGCAACCCACATGGCGAGCAAACCTCTTCTGTCTTGCCAGATGCTCCCTTAGCAGTGTGTTTTGTCAGTCTGCCTGTTCTGTTCCCCACTCTGTCTCTAGTGAGTCCTCTCACCCTCCCACACATCTGGCCTGTACCCCAGTTCTTGTATAAATAAAATAAATCTTTAAAAAAATAATAAAGAATAAAGAATATTCACTTCAATGACCGTTACTTCTAAATTGTATGTTCACAAGGTGCCAGTGGTCATTATTGTCACATTCAGGAGAAAGTGAAATATAACTTGACTCTGTGTTACATTGATCATCCACACTGTATCCTAAACGTTTAGAGAAATATGCAAAGCACAAGTGTATAAAATACAGTGTCTAGTAGGTACCCATAAGTTCCAGGAAGGAAAGAAATTCAAATACATGTCTTTCATGTCCTCTGCAGTGCCTAATTTAGAGCTAAACGTACATTAGAATTTATCAAAACTGCACATGGAAACTTTTAGAACAGAAAGCAACAACTTGTCTAGTCCTAAGTCCCCCATTTAAAAAAAAAAAAAAAAAAAAAAGAAAGTCGATATCCAGAAAGGACATGTGATTGTTTTTAAGGTACAGAACTAATTGATGGATTGCTTGAAGAATATTCTTTACTCTCTTGTTTATGAAATAGGATATGAAAATTATAATTTTTTTTCATGTTGCCTTCTCAGTTGACAATAAAACTACAATATGGTTACAACAAAAATTTTGACAGGATGGTTTCAGGACTAGGGGACAGAACATGTTAAATAAAAACACATCCAGCTTCTAATTTAACTAGCTCTCTTATATCCCCTAGTGAATCAGTTAATCACATAAAAATTAAATCCCATGTCTCAAATTTAAATAATCTAAGGTGGACCTCACTGGTGGCGCAAGGGGTTAAGACACAACCTATGAGGCTATCCACAGCCACTGCAGCATGAGTTTGATCCCGGGCAGCGAGCAACCCACATGCTGCAGGAGACCTCTCCTGTCTCACCCACTGCTCCCCTCAGCAGTGTGTTTCAGTCGATCTGCCTGTTCTGTTCCCCACTCTGTCTCTGGTGAATCCTCTCAAACCCCCACACCTCTGGCCTGTACCCCAATTAATGTATGCATAAAATAATGAATAAATCTTTTAAACAAATAAATAAATAAATAATCTAGGGCAGCAACCTGAGATTGAATCAGGATTGGAATATTCATTCATCCATCACCGACCATCCCTAATTTTGTCATCAGCCTTTCACGTCCAAAGGACTTAATATATATCAACAAGGCTCCTATTCTTTTAGAATTAACCAGTACAGCTGATTTCTCATCAGTCAGTCGTAGTACAAACCAAGGAAGAATAATAAAACTTCTATTATCATTCCTAACTAATACACTGCTAGCATCATTGCTTGTTCTGATCACATTTTGATTACCACAGCTCTGGGTCACAGAGCGAGAAGAATGAGAGAAAGAACATTTGTGGTTTACCTCCCAGGAACTGTGTGGAATTAATGAATTAATATTTATAAAGAATCTCAAGTGTCTTTGGAAAATGTTACTATTTATACATGAAATAGAATTAGTTGATTTTATCAATCAGTTATGTGGCTGGCTATTAAACATGCAACTAAATAAATCATGAAGATATACTAAGTTTAAAAAAATGTAGCAGGAAATAATACAGTTCAATCTTTAAACAAAGGAAAACTTTTTAAAGTTATAATGAACTTTCCTGTCATAGTTTTTGCTTGAAGTGACCCCCATAAAAAGATTGTATAAGCTAACACTGTCAAATATTTAATATCTTAAACAAGTTATTTATGTCAATATTGAACTAACAACATAAAAATTTTGCAAAATAATACCTAGGGTTCCCCAAATGTAATTTGTTTTATAGTAAGCTAAAAATTATTTTCCAGATATTATCCTCCAGCTTTGGAAGTATACTTAATTTTTACAAGTAGGTTACTAAAAAATTCACCCATCTTCACAAAGGAAGCCACTGCCATGTAGCCCACTCCAGCTGATTGTTTTATGTAATTGCCACACGGGCTTCTGCTCCCCCATGACCCCGTCCAACACATCACAGGTCTCCCTGACCTCATCTTTTTCCCTTCTCATCCTATCTCACTGGGCTCCCACCACGCAGTTCCTGCCTATCTTTCCTTCCCATATGCTGGGTCCATTCTGGCCTTTTGCAATTACACTTGCTATCTGGGGTGTGGGTACCCATCCTTGGAAATTTGCATGAACTTTTCTCTCAACAATTTCAGGTCTTTGCTCAAACACCCCTTATCCTGAATTTTAAAATTACAATTTGACCAAAACAATATATATCCCACCTACTAATCTAATGCATGTCAATTAACCTGATCTATCTTTTGCCACCTCACTTGTCAGTTTCATTTATCATAATACTTTAAATCAGATTTAGAGACATGTTTACCTAAAAGCTTAAGCTTCAGGGCCTTCCAAGGTATCTAACTTTGCCTTCTTAAATTTATGAGTCTCAGCAAGAAACTCTTAAATTATATAAAATTCACATTCTATAAAACCTTAATCAACCCTTGAATGCAACCTAGCATTTATTATATTATCATATTAAATCTATTATCTGTTTTTTATGCTCCTCTATGAGAATACAAGCTCCACTAGGGCACAGACTTTATGTCTGTTTAATTCACTGTTATGTTCCAAAACTATAGAGCAAATAAATGAGAACTTCCAATGGAAATAAAAAAGTATCAAGGTGAATCTAGCTGCTTAATGTTCTAAATTATTTACGCACTTTAAATACTGGTCTACTCCAAGTGTAGCTCCATTTCTGACAAAGCTCAAAGTGAAGGGCAAAAGACTCTCAACAGAGCAAGGAATCTGGCCCAGTTGCAGGTAGTATCCTGGGGTTTTCTTAGGCATTGTGACTTTGGGAGCATCTAGAAAAAAAGAACATGGCAAAAAGGTCATGATGATATTAATACTTCCTATTAAACCACTTAAAAGCTTCCTGCTTACATTATTCCAGTAAATTCTCTGCATTCCGAGTAATCTAAATCACTTAAAATCATTTTAATTATCTTTCTTTGTTCAAAGCTTATTAATTTCTGCATATCTTCATGATCCCTTTAATAAATATTTGCTGAATCTAAGATTCCATTAATTTTCAGACACAACATTGTTTCTTTTTTGTACCATCACAATAGAAAAAAAATACCGAATAAGTTACAACGCATCATCAATTGTAAAACACATATTTTAGAATCAAATGCTTAGGGTAATTGTTTTCGCAAAAGGGGTGGAGAATGTGATTTTTAAGAATCTAATAGATTTTTGTAGCATTGAACTTAGAGGCCAAACCAACAAACTTTGTATATTGTACATAAGGAAACATCAAGATTTGTTTTATTGTCCTCATTCTACAACTATTAAACAGCTATAGAGATGTTCCTGCATTCCCAAATCACAAGCTTATGTTTAAATGATAAATAATTGTCCCTTCATCAAAGAGCAAATGATTAGAAACAATCCTTCTCTATCTTTGTTAATTCATCATTCAAACTGTAATTTTAGGAGTTGAGTCATCAGTATTAAGAATTAGCTCAAATATACACAAATTGAAATGCTATCTGTGCTTCCAAATAATTCCTAATCAGTAATCTCATTTCTGTATATTGAATATATATTGTAAGTACCGGCTTCCTAATTAAATAATCACAAAAAGGCAGAATCATTACCTTTTGTTTACAATAAACTACTGTACACAAAGTAGAAGACTTCTGACAATCATATATAAACATTTAGATAATTGGGATTGTTTAGTCAGATATTAAACACATGCGCCAGGATTTCTTGGCACCAGAATTTCCCAGTTCACATTCTTACACTGATATAATCAAAACTTCAGATCTATAATCAATGAAATTTAACATGAAACTTTAGATGTACTATTTTATGGTTAAGAAAAGTTGCATTACTCAAAGTGTAAATGTTCATCAGTCTGCTGACACAGTAATTTTATAGTCCATTCTTTACCTGTAGGACCACATTATCCCCTTAAGCTATCAATATCCCAGTGTTGAATAAAATGATCTCTCACCAGGGATAATACTGGAGAAGGAAACACTGGATACTCTCTGGAAGAGGTAATCGTCCTTATCATAGCCTGTTACTTTGAGAAAAAAAGCTTCATTTGGAGGTATAAAGTCAGAAATATTCCATATGCCATAAGGTTTTCTATCTGGGTAATATTTAACAGGAATAGTCTTAAGAGATCGGCCTGAAATACTCAGAAGTTCAAGACGATCTACTCTGGCTGGAGGTGAAATTCCAGACGTATTCAGCAGCACATAGGTAGGTATTCCTACAAGGGAAAAATTGTCATCATTTACAGGTAACATGCACTTAAAGTTACAGATCAAATAAGTAATTACATTATAATAACAGGTAACAAATATAATAAAATGAGTACCACATGCTGCCCTACAAATTGTGGCCCATTGTAGAGTCCTTTCATGTACAAGATTGTTTATTCAAATCCAGAAAAATGTATAAAACCGAAGTAATGACTTTTATAGCATTTTAATTATGCTTATTGTAGAAAACTTGGACCAGTGAATACTGTGTTGTAAGATGTTTGATGACATGAATATTTTTAAAGATCTACTGTTTTGTGTCTTAGAAACTGCCATAATAAAAATAAACAAACAAAAAATATTGGAGGCACAGTATGATTCAGTTTTCCTTTTAGCTAAAAAATTATAAATCTTCATGCATTAATAAGAGGAAGAACAAGTTTTAAAAATTAGCAATTTCATCTGTAAACATACAATGATACACAGTGCCTTTAGTTTTTTAGGTACATGTACACACACAATCCACATTTTCACCTTGACAACAAAGCAATTTGTAGCTGTTAGTAAGAAAAAGTCTCAAGATCTAGGTCAGTAGTTTTTCAAAGTTTAGTAAGCTTAGGAATTAACTGGGGTACAACAGCCCTGGGCACTCCTTTGTGTGGTTCCAATTTTGGAGATCTATGGTGGGGTCCAGGAATCTTCATTTTGACAAATTCCTGGAGTAAGGTCTTGGAAGTAAACTTTGAGAAATAGTAACCAGGCCACAATCACACTTAAAGTACAGATAATATGTTTGTGAATTTTATTGAAAACGAGACTATTATATAGTCACAGTCTGAGAAATACTCTGCACTTGGATTTCTACTCTACCAATCTAAGTAATATGTACACAAACACACACCTTGTACGGGTCTGCTGACTGTTTTCTTGAAGTCCAGGGTGGGCTTTCGGGAAAAACCAGCTCGAAAATCAATAGTACTGAGGCCAGTGATGCGAACGGAGTGCCTTCCACTGCTGGAAATCTGAAACATGTCAATGACAAAATTTGTCAGCAGCTGATCCAGGTTTCCTGTCATACTGAACACTCAGTAGGAAGCAAAACCACAACATTTAATTAGCACTGACATCCCTTCACCCAGATTCTGATCCAGGTGTTGTGAATTGGACTACGCTTTTATATCTTAAATGCAAGTTTTATAATATAGATCCCAGGGGACTGTTCGAAAATATGATTCAGTAACACACTGCATGCCCAATGGTAAAAAATATTGGTGATGAGTCTCTAGTGGATGGACTTGAAAATCTGTAAAAAATCCATGAGGTCATGAATTTTTATTTTTTTAAATTGAAGTAACACTACATAATAATATATAAGATTCAGGTGTGCATCATTATATATCAACAAATCCTAGAAATCTGTGTGTGGAATTGAGACTACCAGAGAGAGAGAACAGGGGAGGGGAAGAAAAGTTGGAGGGGGCCTGATGATCTATGATGGTGGATAATGGGTGCCTTGGTGGGGGGGGGTATGGTGAGGTGACATACACCTGAAGAAGTGTGAACCTATATACCACTATGCTCTACATAACAGGAAGAGCTGGAACTCTTGAGAGGAGAGAAGCAGAGACATTAGAGGGCGGGGGGGAAAGGATGGAGGGAAGGTGTAAGGAGAAGAACACAATGTTTGCAGACATCCCCAAATCTACAGTCAAACCTACTAAACTCACAAAATATGTATTAGTGAATTTCCTGTGCCATTTTGAAGGTGTAAAGCTTTTTCCTTAATCATAGTATGAAAGATTAGAATAAGCACACAAATTATCAGGAGGTAAAGAGACCATAAGACAGTAAACTTTCAGGAAACACAGAAATGTGGGGAGAAGCTTTGGATTCTCACATGTTATGGACCTTTATCAGGCTGGAAAAGAACTAAATGATTCTAAGATCTTGGTGAGGCAAATAAAATTAAGCTAATTCTGTACTGAGCCAAGCAGGGGCAGTTCAGCTATTATGTTTATCCCCCTTCTCTTTTCTTCCAAATAATCTTAGCAATCTTAAGATCATGTTTTATGCATTCAATAAAATTATTAAGATCAAGATTACTAATTTAATGTTTTTTTTTTTTAATTTGGTCTTTATATCATACAGATTCAACCTATAGGTTACAATAAAATTAGAATTTGGTTCCAAAAAGTGTCTCTATTTTAAGGCAGAATATTTTAAGGTACATCAGCCTTGCAGAAGCTTCCTAACCTCATGACTTCTGTTGTTAGGAGGAGGGAACAACATAATGGCTTCAATCATAACAGGAAATTTTTTAGACAGTGGACACTGGACAGGGTTTGTATGGGCTAGAAATTCTGAGCATTGTATTTCAAAGTCTATTTATTTATACAGTTTTTAAAGTTCACAATGAGCTCCATAACTATGCTGAACTAGAATGTCATGTTGGTCAAATAGTAAAAGGGCTAGATTGAGCAAGATATAGGTTGCTGCTCTGTGAACAGAATAAAGGCAAAGATGAAATCATATCTCATACTTACTGGCATCCTAAAATTGTAAATAGGTGTTCTTGATTCACAAGACAATAAGAGAAAAGAAGGAACACAATGGATCAGAGTTTCTAGGTTTCTGAATTTCTACAAGTTTAGTAAAAGAGCAGGACAGGCAGAAATACCCTGGAGCAAGCACCATGGAGAGCTCCAGGGACACAGTTGCTCCTGATAATTTTCTTATTAGCTCTACTGCAAATAGATTCACTCAGTTCAAAGATGAAGGTCAGCACATATTTCTCTGTATCAAAAGTCCCTTAAAGCAATAACTATGTCATATCTATCACCTACAAAATATCACTCAAAATGTACTTAATACTTATAGGTTTAATAAATTGATGCAAAATTCTAATGTTCATGCTTTTCCTTAGATTCCCTTAGGATCAGTTAAAGGCAGATTCATCAACAATTCATGATTAGTTAAAGGCAGATTCATCAAACAATTTATTGAATTTTTCTACAGGTATCATGCTAAACACGTTCACACATTAGCTCATAATATTCTATTACCTCTGAAGATGATTTTATAGCATGATAAAGATGCTGAAGTTCAGAAAAATGATAACTTGCCCAGGTTTAGACAGTAAGTTAAATAGCAGTTATTACAAGTTCAATGCTCTTTATATAGTACCTGACCTTATCTATGCATAGAATTTTAAGATAACAAAATCTCTGGGTTCATTTGGACCCTAGGGCATGGTAGACAATAATACTCTCCAGCACTGCATTTGCCATTCACAATATGCTTTAACTTGGGAGGAGTCAAGTTAGTGGAGTGTTACTAAACCTCTTTTTGAAAGAAAAAAAAGGCCACTAACACAATGACTAATTTCAAGCTCCCAATGTGATGTCACTGAACATAGAATTGTGAAGAGAAAGTGAATACATGACTTTCCACAAGACTTTATAAGTTAACTCTAGCACACCATTAGGTAGTTAATATTTCTGGCCAATAAGCCCCAAAGGGTGTCTACTACTCCTAGAGATGTCTGTTTCATCTTGGAAGTGACATAAATGCCTTCATTTTTATTCAGTGTGCACTCTCCAGCATTCTCCTCCACTAAAGTAACTGAAAAGGCCACATGTTCTAAAGTTTGGTAGAGCCTCCATCAGTTTGGGTTCCTGAGTGCCTGTGTAAAGAACATCCTGTCACCCCCACTGGAAAAGTAACTTTGGTGAAGAATGAAAAGTCAGAATTCTACCCAGTACTAAATGTGAAGCCTGACCTGTTATAAATTGAATTAAAATATGATCTATAGAGCTGACTTTCCTTCAGTAAATGTTTCATAAAATAATAAACAAGCCTAATATAAAGGAAGAAACTTTGTGTTTATTCATTAATAGATTATATGTACAGTTTATTGTTGACAAATTTTCAACAGAACAGCTCATTTAATTAGTTTTATCATTCATACATCGAAAGCAGTTTAAGCACTTTACCAGCATCTAATTTAATCATGACAATGTGAAGTAGGTATTATTTTTCTTAATTTTTTGCAGACTTGAGGAGGTTTGGTAATTTCCTCAAGGTCAGAAAGATATTAAGTAGTGTATCTTGAATTCAAGTAGACTCTCAGCTCTTTTCCAAGTATTTACTCTTAAATAACATACCATTCTTTACAAATTAAAGAACAGGATAGTTTCAATCAAATATTTATTTAGAACACACCATGGGCTAAGCATTGTGCCAGACACATAGATATAAAAATACTTATCTTTTTATTAGGTATTACATGTTTAGAGAAAGATAAGAAAAAAATGAGCTCAAAATATAGAACAAATTAATTCAAATGCACCTTCATACATATACACATTTATATATGAAAAAAGAGTACAAACTTTTTTTTTTTTTTAAAAAAGGAAACATTCCATTTGGCTGACAATCTGTTACTGGCAGACCAAAATAACTGGGAAATTCTCCAAGAAAATTTACTATAAAGCATTCCATTGGCCCAAAACTTGAATTAATACTATGCCTAATCCATTTAAAAAACACACCTGCTATATAGTCTGCAAGTTTATTTAACAGAGTCACCAGGTAAGAATAACTGGAGACCAGCTCAATAATCTTCTTGTGTGGTCCTATGTAGACTACAGATTTGTTTAATTATGACCCCTCCCAAGCAAGCTTATGCTACTTGAGTATGATATCTAAAATATCCTTATCCTGTAGAAAATGCATTAGTAGGTTCCGGCAACTAACGTAACTATCTAAAAGCAAACTATATCTACTAGTCTTAGAATCTCAGTATACTCATATATCTAGGTACACTCCTTTCTCTACTCGGGAACTTACAAAAGAACAGTTTATCCACATTTACTTAATGGAAACACACCCCAGGATATGTGTAAAATTACAAGATCACACTGATAATCCTAAACTAATAGAAGGAGTTTATACCACCTAAACCCAATGGTTGCTCACAGTTACGTAATATCTTTGCAAGGAGTTTTTCTAAAGAGCAAAAGACAAAAACTAAGTCTGGGAGTTTCTTTTTTTTTTTTTTTTTTTTTTATAGAGGCATGTTTTTTATTTATTTATTTATTTGTTTGTTTGTTTTGTTTATACATGCACTGGGTACAGTCAGAAGCGCGGGAGGGTGAGAGTGTTCACCGGAGCCAGAGCGGGGAGCAGAGCAGGCAGAAGGACCGAAGTACACTGCTGAGGGGAGCAGCGGGCGGCAGGAGAGGTCTGCGCGCCATGTGGGACCCTCCTCTGGTGGCCGGGGAGCAGCCGGGGATCGAACCGGCGCCGCAGAGGCTGCGGGCAGCTTCGCAACCCAACGCTCAACCGCTGCGCCACCGGGGAGGCCCTCTTTTTTTTTTTTTTTTCAAATATTTTGCTCCTGGATTTTTTAGCTTTTACATTTTTTTTAAAGATTTATTAATTTTTTATTTATACAATAGCTGGGGTACGGATCAGAGGCATGGGAGTTGGGGAGTGAGAGGATTTACCAGAGACAGAGTGGGGAGCAGAACAGGCAGACAGACCAAAAGCACCACTGAGGGGAGCAGCAGGCGAGGCAGGAGTGGGAATCTCCCTGGCCGGCTGGGAATCGAACCTGCACAGCAGAAGCTGCGGACAGCTTCACAGTGCTGTGCTCAACCTGCTACACCACCGGGAGATCCAGTCTGGGAGTTTCTGTGGCTATGTTTTGTGTTTTTTTTTTTTTTTCCCACTGTAGAATAGTTTTATTTTTTTTAATTTATTTTTATTTAAATTTTATTTTTATATTCCCCATACAATTACAACCCCCTTATTTTGACCCCAATCCTCCTTTTCCCACCCCCCTCATCCCCCATAGAGTATCTCTGGTTCATAGTTGTTTGTTGATTTTGATATTTTCTTTCTTACAGTTATTCATTTTCCTGGTCCATGTTTTAATACCCCTAGAAGTATATCGATATCTGAAGGGGAAATTTATATTGACACTTATAAATACATCCAAGACTTGTAGCTTCCCTACACCTGGAAATTTAGGGACATAAAACAACCTCCTCTTTTGTTTTCAATAAAACATTACATTATTTTCAATTACTTCCTTTTTTAAAAATGTATTTTTTGAGGCAATGTTGGTTCAATACTGTATGTGGTTTAGAGGTATGTTCATACCTCTTCAGAGGATTTTACCTGCATTAGAGGCAATCTAAAACATTTGAGTCATTTCTGTGATCTACACATGATTGACCCATTTTCTATGTTTAGGGAAGTGGTATCAGAGGGTATCAGAAGGCAAACATAGAAGAGAAGAAATCACCACGCTCATAGCTCATGACATTTTAAACAATACACAAGTTACAGTGTTCTGTGAACCAACTGCAGGCCAGCCACACCAAACCTTCAGCCTAGTCCCTAGAAATCATCAGGATAAATGTATTTGTTTTTAGTCATGGGTATCCACACAGTTCTTTCCCATGCATTGTGGCACATACTAGTGACAAGCTCTATAGTAAAATAGGAAACAAAAATCTATACAGAAGTAAATATGACTAAATAAAGCAAAAGGGAAGTGCAGAAAAACTGCAGTAGGAAATCAAGGGGAAAGAGAGTATTTTAGATGGAAAAGTCAGAAAAGTCTTGAAGAACTGGGCTTTAGGGTACATTTATGAGTCTGATTTGTAAAGTAAGAAAGGAAGGAGCTACAAGAGAAAAGGAATAGCTTGAGAGAGGTATGGGACAAGGGCATGAGGGAGAGACAGGGTTTAAGAAAGTACCATGTTATATTGGAACAAGAACAGACACACAGACCAATGGAATCGAATAGAAAACCTAGAAATAAACCCACAGATTTATGGTCCACTAATATTTGACAAAGGAGCAAAGAATATGCACTGGAGCAAAGAAAATTTGTTCAATAAATGGTGCTGGAAAAACTGGGTTGCTACATGCAAAAGAATGAAGCTTGACACTACCTCACACCAAAATCAACTCAAAATGGATTGCACAAAAACCAACCCAAAATGGATTAAAGAACTAGACATAAGACCTGAAACCATAAAATACATAGAAAAAAATATAGGCGAAACACTACATGACATGCACCTCAAAAACATCTTTACAGACACATCACCCAAAGCAGTGATAGTGAAGGCAAAGATAAACAGCTGGGACTACATCAAATTAAAGAGCTTCTGCACAGCAAAAGAGACAATAACCAAAACAAAGAGAAACCCCACCGACTGGGAGAACATTTTTGCACACAACACTAAGAAATGCAAATGGCCAACAGGCATATGAAAAAATGTTCAACATCACTTGCAATCAGGGAAATGCAAATCAAAACTACTATGAGATACTATCTCACACCAGTAAGAATGGCACATATTAAAAAAACTAGCAACAACAAATGTTGGTGAGGTTGTGGAGAAAAAGGAACTCTCCTGCACTGCTGGTGGGGGTGCAAATTGGTCCAACCGCTATGGAGAGCTGTGTGGAGATTTCTTGACCTACTAAACATAGAGCTTCCATATGATCCAGCAATTCCACTCCTAGGTATTAATGAAAATGACACAGAAACATTAATTCCAAAGGACACCTGCACCCCTATGTTTATAGCAGCACTATTTACAATAGCTAAGCTATGGAAACAACCCAAATGCCCAAAAATAGATTACTGGATCAAGAAGATGTGGTACACAATGGAATATTACTCAGCAATCAAAAAGATAAACACATGCAGTTTGCAGCAACATGGTTGGTGCTAGAAGGGATCATGCTCAGCAAAATAAGTCAGAAAGAAAAAGAAAAATACCGGATGGTCTCACTCATAGCAGGAATTTAGGAAACCTAAATAAGAGACCAGGAAAAAGACTAATCAATACAAAGTAAAAACCAAAATCAACAAGCAACTATAAACCAGAGACACACTACAGGGGTGGGGGGAGGGAGGGGCGGGGAAAGGAAGGATTAGAGTCAAAATAAGGGGGGGTGCAATTGTATGGGGAATATAACCAAAATGAAAATGCATACATTGTGCAAAGATGAAAAAAGCTGTAACAATTATATAAAATAATATATTTAAATAAAAAAAATTAAAAAAAAAAAGAAAGTACCATGTTATATCTGATCAGATAGTAAAGGCCACTGATGGGAAATAATCAGGAAGACTGGTTGAGGTTCACTGGGGTGGCCATTTAATACCATGCTAAGGTTAAATAATAGACTTCTCTCCATACTTTTGATAAAAACTGTTACGTGAAACATTCAAAAAGCCATTATTAATTCTCCTGATATGGTAGACATTTTCCAGATAGCAAAGTGTGCAAGAGATAGCACCAGGGATACACTATCTAATCTCAGATATTTCTCTTCTTGAGAAAGCACACACATAAAATACCACATTTCATTAGCCATCCAAAAAGGAGATCCAAAGTCAGGAAGAATATTTATGTCAGTACTTCAGTTCATTTTTTTTTTTGCATTAACCGGATACATTATTTTGATATCTTATATACAAGAAACATAAGCTTATTTTTTAAGTTGCTTTGCAACGCTTATCCTTTTGTTTGGTTACCACTAATTGTACTCTAGAAATGGTGTAACATCAGAACCAGAGGCTTTTTGGGTGAGGACTAGACATAAATTAAGATGATATAATAATAGGTACTGGGTACTTTTATTGTTTTATTAATTATAGGAGACTGAGCTTAGAGACTTGTCATAACAGCTCCCATCACCTCATCATTTTATCATCTCCTTCCTCACTAACTAATCCTCGGTGCTTCTCTGTTCTAATTATCAATTAAAATGGGCTGCATGCCCATGAAATATCAGGGAACATGGCCAATAGCAGACACTAAATAAATGTTTATTGAATAGATGACTGAATAGATGTAGTAGGCACCAGGTCAAACAACACACCTGCAATAATCCTCTTCTAGGCAAGAGTTTTACTGGAGGAAATACCACTGGGAATAATCCAAATCACCTGTAAAATGGATTCAACTGCTTCATAACAAATATTAAGACCACAGAATGGCATCAAGAACAATCCTTGTTATAGTTTCTATTTTCCCTACAAGGGCTTAGAGTTCTGAGAATAAAGCACTGATATTCAAAGATTGGAATGGAGTTACAATGGAAACTTTCACTCTAAATTGGGAAAGTTAATACAGGTTTTTTTGAAAAAAAAAAAAAACAAAACTTGGCATGGAGAAATGGAACCTTGGATTTCTATGGCATAACACCCCGTGCACTTTCACTAAAGTGCTGTAATTTGAGTATGAGATGACTGATCCTACGTTTACTGAAACAAGGAAAGAGTAAAAAATGCAGAGTATCTTCATTTGAGGTGGTCCAAAAGGATTCTAGTTTTGTTTATCTGAGAGGTGCAGGGATGTTAACAGGAAAAGGAATGTTGCCAGTGGAAGGTGCTGTTAAGCCTGCTCCCACTGTGGACAACTAGAGCTAATTCCTACAAGGTAGGACAGCTGCTCCTGAGAAGTGCAATTCTCCAGGAAAACAACCTTCTCCTGTTCCAGAATAAACCCTCAGACACACACATGCAGATACAAGAGTTGGAAACAGGGCAGAGTACACAGAAAAATCTGAGAAACGAGGACATGTCACTCAGCATCACTACATATATTTTATGGTGGAGCTAATGCCCAGTTGTACAGTAACCTGAATTTTAGGGATATGTTCTTTTCTCCATAGTGTCAAAATACAATGCCTTCTTAGAGTGGATACATACTACTGAGTATAATTCTAGAATACAAATACACCATTTTGTGTTAAAGGAAACAATGAATGCAGAGTCACCAAATAACAATAGCCAACAGTACCTGAACAAATGCTTACTTTTTAACAGGACCTATGTGGTGAATTGCACTTGTGTCAACCTTTTTTAATTCTCATCCCAATTATATGAAGTAAGACTATTACTGCCCTCTCTACATTACAGAGCAGGAAAGCAAGTCACAGAGAAGCTATGGACCTCAGGCACTACAGCCTCTAAGGGGTGGTGGTGAGATTAAAACTCACTTCTTCCACAGCAGACCCCTAACCATTATTCTCTATTGACTCAATCTCTGATGTTCCAGAGGCAGAAGGTGGGTAATATAATCAGTGTAGAGATTAGATAGTACGAAAATGATTTGAGAATTTTAAGTGTATCATGAGGTATCAATGATTTTCATGGTCATAAAAACATGCCACTACCAAATTCATGTGATCAAGATACCACCTACGAATGCACTATGTATACTGCTTTTTAGTAAACACAGTCTCCATTTATGGAATATAAAGAAACATAACAAAGGGACAATCAAAACCAAACCAATAATAAACTCTTCACATCTGTCTGCAAAACTGAGGCAACCACAGGGGGAAGTTGGTGGGGTGGGAACAGGGGTGGAAGAGACCCTATGGAGCATGGTAGAGGAATGTTGGGGCACTGTAAGTGGACAGGGCATGAAAATTATACACTTGTAGAGATTTGAACCTATAAATCCCAAAGCAGACATAAAGATGTAAAAACCTACTAGACTTCAATAAATGTAATTTGGGAGGAAAAAAGGCACTTTCATGATAGCCAGGGGAGATAAGTAAACTATTGTGTACACTTTATATAACACACCAATGTCAAAATAAAATAATAAATAGACTTTGTAAAATAACAGTACCTTCACTGTCCACATTCCAGCCTCCGGCTCTTTAACATTCACCACTTTGGCAGAGTTATGGATATTTAATAGTTCGTTCAGGCCAAATCCCTTTTTTATCAGCTTCCCTGAAAGACAGACATAAAGGAAACAAGCATAATCTGTCTTTAAGCTATGTATATTAGCTTTATACATTTCCAGTACAAATGCCTGATGAACAGTTGTTCCCCTATCTCAAAACATTTTATTTATCTCTCATGTATACTTTATTTTAGGGTTTCTGGCATGGAATTGAAGTAACAGATTCCCATTTACTACGCTGATTGGATATTAAGATGAGAATAAACTTGGCAGACTGTAATCATATTTCCAAAGGCAGCGTAGGTGTCGATTTTAGGGCTACCGAGAAGTTATGTGTGGTCACTAGAGACATTGCAGTTGAATAGATGGCAAAAACAGTATCCCAGAGTAAATGTCACCTTGGAGATCTCTCAAGGTATCACTAACATGAGAGCCCTGAGCATATCTTTGCAGAGTGCAAAACCTTAACTAGTTTTCCATGAAGCACACGAGGTTCCAACTGGCTGAGGAAAAGTTAAAGGAGGCAGCCTACTGAAACAGTATGATATCAGCTCCTACTGACCTGAGATTTATCTAAAGTATTCAATAGTTGGAACTTGAGAGGAAGCAAAGCAAATGCACAGTTAAGACATAGTTCAGTTATTCACTGTACTATTAGTTCCCCAAAAGACTACTTCTGCAATTATTTATACAAATCAACTATAAGAATCTGATGCTTATATCAAGAGCTTTATAATATTTGTAATGACATTTTAAACATAAATGTTAATGTTAATGACATAATGCAGTGGGTATGGCTACTTTTCAGTGCCCAATTTATGAAAAACACAAAGAGGGATGTTAGTAGAATGCTATCAACAGGCAAATCCACGTACAAATTTATAGAAGTCTTAAAAAATAGGTTTTGTTTTATAAATTTTATTTTATTTTTTAAAGATTTATTTATTTATGCATACAAGAACTGGGGTGCAGGCCAGAGGTGTGGGAGATGAGAGGATTCACCAGAGACAGAGTGGGGAGCAGAACAGGCAGATCTATTGAAATACACTGCTAAGGAGAGCAGCAGGCAAGACAGGAGAGGTCTGCTGCACCATGTGGGTCAGCTCCCTGGCCAGGGATTGAAATTGTGCTGTAGTTGCTGTGGATAGTTTCACAGAGCTGAGACTTAACCCCTTCCGCCACGAGGGAGGCTCTGTTTTATAAATTTTTATCCAATTGCTAGTACAGAGGTAGTCTTTGAGGACAATTTCATATGTTGTTTCTTTTAGGTCTTATTTTCTAAGACTCAAATAAAGTGAGCAACCTAGTTACTCCCTCCCCAGTTACAGATAAATAAATAAATAGCAAAAAAAAAAAAATACAACATAAACTAAAGCCACAATGAAAACAAACTTATTTCACAAACATCAATAGGCAAAATAATTCAAAATGCAATATTAGGGAAAATGAGGTTTTTGTTTTATAATGTAATGTCTTTAATGTAAACTTCATTGTAATATTCAACCAGCAATGGAATGAGTCTAAATCTTATGATAATTACAAGTAATTAAGGAAGCAGAATAAATAAAAAAATTATTCTAATATGTGTATAGTGTGCTTTTTTTTTTTTAAGGATTTTTATTCTCTGGTCCTTTTTTTTTTAAGATTTATTTATTTATCTATACAAGCACTGGGTACAGTCAGAAGTGCGGGAGGATGAGAGAATTCACCAGAGCCAGAGTGGGTTGCAGAACAGGCAGAAGGACCAAAGTATACTGCTGAGGGGAGTTGCGGGTGCAGCAGGAGAGGTCTGCGTGCCATGTGGGACCCTCGCAGGTGGCCAGGGATCCAACCGGCACTGCAGAGGCTGCGGGCAGCTTCACAGCTTAGGGCTCAATGGCTGCGTCGCCAGGGGAGGCCCTATAGTGTGCTTTTTTAACAACAATCTTCTGCAAAATTAAACCTTATCAAGGTAATGATAAAATGAAAAACAGCTGTCTTAAAAGGAGTTCTTTCATGTGATTCTTTTTAAAATAATATGAAATACTGAATTTTAAAGAATAAGTTATTGTGAGATATTTTCATTTGTAAAAAACATAATTTCATATTCAACTTAAATATTTTTCTTTTGGGTATTTTAGTACAATTAAGATACTAAATCTGATCTGTTTAAATTACTAGGCAATTTTGCCTTTTTAAATTTCATGTTAATTTAACAATACTTATGATCAAGTATGAATTTATTTATGATGTTAGCGTTAACTTGACACAAGCGAGCATGAAAAAAAACCTCTCTTTGATGGATTTTTTATTTCATTATATGATGTTTCATATATCTCACCTAAAGGATTGCGAATTTCAATCATTGGCGAAGCGCCACTCAGAGACACAGTAACCTCTTTTAGGCTGGGATCAAAAGGAATTTTCCAAGTGTTTACAGCCTGTTCCAAATGGTCTGTGGATAAGAGATGAACTTTGGAGGCCTGCACTGCTTCTTCTACCCATTTTAACACCTATAAGAAAAAAAGAGTATAAGTGACCTAAGACGGCATTTACAGTCCCATAACCAATACCACCATGACTTACAGTTGACCTCAGTTAATTGCATGACTTAGACACTTCCTGTAATGATGTGAGGTTTATTTCCTTCATAGCAAAGACAAACCCTTTGCCTACACCCAGTTATTATAGTAGATTCAGAACAAAAAGCTGGTTCAACCCATGCTCAAATTTCAAGTTTTCTATTTTATGATAATATATTCAGAATGAGATTAGTGTCAAAAAAAAAAAAAACAGTTACATGAGACATGCAGAGATCTTACAGTTTTCTACTTCTCAAAAAAAAGAGCCAATAAAAAACATGTATTGCCAATATTTTGTGATCCCTTTTCCTTCCATTGTTTCTTCTAGTTTTCTTCCAAGATGCAATTTACCAAAGGTACCTACTTAGCAAATTACCAATTCTAATTTCAATATATTTGGTCTATTAATTATTATAATGTATTATACTGTAATCACATGTATTATAATATGTATATTGTTGAAAACTAACTGCAATACCAGCAAAATGCTCATTTTTATGATAAATTGAATAAGAATAAAAAATAATGCAAAAAGAAATAATTGTATGTTAAAAAATAGAAAAATATTTCGAGTTATAATCTACTTACATATTCTTGAAAACTAGTTTTTGGTAAAATATTAAGAAATTGGGTTGTCGAAGGGTGTTAATGCCTCACTGTGAGAAAGTAAAACTTCCAATTCACAGAAGGATATTGCAACAGCAAATACAATTCTTCATTAGACAAACAGTGCATGTCTAGACATGTGTTGTTTACTTGAACTTACAATTAATTCTAAATCATTTTCATTTTTAATCCCCCTAAGATCTTTCTCTGGTTCATATATCCTTTTGTGAACAACTTCCCTTGTAATTGTTCATAAAAAATTGAACAGAGCTATATATTAAGCTGCAGCCAAGTTATTAAAAATAAAAACATTTTCTTTAATTTCAACAGTGATCATTATAAATCAATTAATTAAGCAATAAATACTGTGCAATAACTTCATTCTCTATAAAAAGCATTCCTGTTTTTGTCCTCAAGGATGAGGCAAGTGGCTAAGACATATTATCAAGTAATTAACAATGTGAGGTAATTATGTTCATTCATAAAACAATTGTTTATTGTTCAAGGTACTTCTTCCAGGTACTGAATAAGTATTGATGAGCATATTTTTAGCCAATATTTGGTAGCCACTCTTATTCTCTGGATGAGTATATACTAAGTATTTTGCACTTATAACATGTCATTTGTTTTTAAAATTCTTCTTGGCTTTCTTCCAGGGTCAATATCCAGATCTCCTTTATCTTTGTGGACCCAAAACCAAGTGACATGCTCTACACATATCAAAGGTAGGGTATGAACTAATGTCAGTGAGGTTGGTCTTAAAGAATGTTCTGGGAATTCAAGATACAAGGGTCCCTTGTTGAAGTAATGTTTGTAAAGAGCCACCAGAGTACCTATCACATTAGTAAACGCTCAAATGACTTCTTTCCTCTCTAACCTCTCTTCTCTTCCCTTAACTGACTATTTCAACTATGGCATCATATGCAGCAACATGGATGGCACTGGAAGGGATCATGCTCAGCGAAATAAGCCAGAAAGAAAAAGAAAAATACCGGATGGTCTCACTCATAGCACGAATCTAGAAAACTTAAATAAGGGACCAGTAAAAAGAATAACTATAAGAAAGAAAATATCAAAATCAACAAATAACTATGAACAAGAGACACTATATGGGGGTGGGGGGCAGGGAAAGGAGGGCTTGGGGTAAAAATAAGGGGGTTGTAATTGTATGGGGAATATAAAAATAAAATTTAAATTAAAAAAAGAAAAAAAATAAGAAAACTTTGTGTACTGTTAAAAAAAATTATCCATCAAAGTTAGGTAAGATTTCTGCAATTGAAAAGGAGAGGTGAAGTCATATCAAGTAGAAGAGAAGACCTGAGAAAATGCACTGAGACAGGAATCTTGTAGATGTATTGGGAACATAAGCAAGTCCAACAGCTACAGCAAAGTGTTCACAAAATGGCGATGCAAAAGATGAAGCTGGAAGCTTATGTCAAGACCAGGCTATGACATTTGGAATCTGTTGTAAAGCTGTCACAGAAAATTTGCTGAAGGGCTTTATGTAGAAGAGTAATACATTGAATGTGATATTTTGTGAAGAAAAACCTATAGTAGTATCATGGATAAATTGGGTAGAAAACAAAATCCATGGTTAATTAATTCATAAATCAAATGACAGATTTTCTCACATTTTCACATTATAAAGCACCTAGAATTTTACATATGTAATAAAGAATGCATCACTAAATTTGTCTAAAAGAGATACCATTTTTGTAAAAATCATTTGAGTGATTTATTTTGTTTGAACAGAACACAGATCAAATCTATCCAATGACTACATAATTCAGACTGATTGTAACTAATATTTAACCATAAATAGAACACATTTTAATAATCCGAAAGTTGACATTTTATATCTTCTGCACTTAATATGGTTATCTAATTCAAGGAAACGGAAAGGACTTACTACCTGGAAAATGATTAAATAAACTTGATATACTGATTAACTTTGAAGATAATGTCTCACATAGAGACTAAAGTGGGCAAAGAACAAAACAAAGCAAATAAATGGACAGAAAATTTGCATTAAAGGCAAGATACACAGTGTGATCACAAATTATTCTCAATGGAAAAGGAAGAAAAATAATTCAAAACAAGAATATCTCAAGTTTAACAATGGACTGCAATAGTGTTAAGAAAAAAATGGAAATGACATCAATATTTTTATGCAGCCTTCCTTAAAACTTCTTTAAATATAGTATATTCCAGGGTGGTTCCTCAAATATATCTTTCCTTCAAACCAATATCACTGGAAATCTATCCTGCTTGCTCATAGCTACACATGGAAACCCCTAAAACTTTGCAAAATATTCTTATAAAGTAAAATTTCTTATGAAAATAAAAGATGTTCTAATTCAGTTGCATTTTCAAAAGGCAAGTGTTCAAATGGTACAGAACATAAGCAGGCTTTGGTTTATTCTTAATACCACTTCCCATTCATCAACATTTGTGAGGCTTTCACAGAGGGATTACCATGGATCATAATATTACTTTTTGGGAAAGACAAAGTACAGACATCTTGTCAAGAGTCTCAAATCACATTTTTCATCCACTTTCAAGAAAAAAAATTAAATTGAAAACAGATGCAACCCATTTCATTAGAAAAATATAGTTATTACCAAGGTATTTATTACTTATTGACAATCAGGCTACAGAATCCACCACAAGTGAGTTTTCTGGTATCCCAAGTTGCCCCTCATAAGGAAAAACATCTCTAATTTTCTAACTATGACAAATGTTCTCATGAGATTGGAAATGATCTTCTGTTAAAATGACATGAAATAGAACTGGAAAAATGTAAGTGTTTGGATTGGTGCATTTATACTTACATAAAAACTTTTTCAAACCACCAGGGAACAGTTAAATGTACATTAAAAGTTTTAATGTAAAAATGTTCTCTGATGATTTGTAGCAGTTTATATTCCAAAAGGCCATTGGGACCATCTAATCCAGTTCTTTATTTTATAAATGAGGAAACTGATATTTGAAAGAATTCTTGTACCTGTTAAATATATAAGCAGATTGATTCTGGCTCAGTTGTTATTTCATATATAAGCCTGTGTTCCTGAAGAAACTCTGGTCAAATTTAAAGATTTTGTGTTCTATATGATAATCAATACTCAGTAGTGACTTCCTATGGATATTACACTATGAAAAGAGATGTAAAATTGTTTCCAAACATAAAAACAGCATACATTACTATATATTATGTAATACAATAGTATTAAGTAGAAAGTAAAGTGAAGTCAAATTTTGATAAATCTTTAAGAACTGAACTTAAGGAATAGCTTTATCTGGAAGGATTTTTTAATGTAACGACTACACACTCATGAATTTTCCCAGAACATGAGGGGATGGGGTTTGTTAGGAAAGGGGAAATAAATAAATAGGGTAAGTATTAAACACAATTTGTAATTATGCACATCTTTGTATTTTTGTTGTTTATCATCTATCTTCCCACTAAACCTTAATTTCCGGTGAGAAAGAGGGACTACAGCTCATTTGTTCACTACTATAACCCCTGAGCCTAATATAGTGCCTGAGACATAGTAGATTCCTAATAAATATGTGAAAAAGAAAGGGTGGTGGGTATATGAAGAAAACAGAGAGAAGGGAGGAAGACACTCTGTGTCAGATCTTTAACCTCAGACTTAAGAATGTGTAACCAGGAAAAAGACTAATTATGATAAAGTAAAAATCAAAATCAACAAGTAACTATAAACCAGACACACACTACAGGGGCGGGGAGGAGAAAGTAGGATCAAAACAAAGAGGGTGGAAATTGTATGGGGACTATAACCAAAATGAAAATGCATACATTATGCAAAAATGAATAATGATGTAAAAATATATAAAATAAAAAAAAGAAAGAAAAAAACAAAAACAAAAACAAACAAACAAAAAACAAGAATGTGTGAAAAGGTAGCACTGGGACCCTGTGCTCACTGTAACAAGCACTCAATTTTCAACACTGAAGCCGAACAGGGTACAAATATGCATGTGCAGTCTTACATGGGAGCATTAGGCTCTATTTAACTTTTAGTTGCTTCTTTTTTTGGCTAGTTAGCCTGGGACTTAAAAATTCAAGGGAGAAAGTTTTAAAATTAAGCAAGAATTTGAAAAATTCTCATGCATATGCTTTTCTAAGGCACCAGATACTTATTTTTTCAAGTTCATTAATGGTAGAAAATTGCTCAGAAAATAAATGCTACAAGGCAAGAGAGTGTAAAAGGATTAGGTAGGCATAGTAAAGGACAATGCAAGGAGAGAAAAGGAGAAATAATAGCTAGCTTAAACCAAAAATCCAATACAGGTGCTCTTAA